TGTAAAAATTAAAAGTATGTTAATATTAGTATAAATACAAGATTACTATAATAAATATATATACATATATCTAACCATATGTAATTTTTAGAGTATTTTCAATATGTAATAGAATTAAGGTGTGCTTGTTTTGTAAGATAATTTGAATGAATATTTTTTTATGCAATGTATGAAGAATTGTGTATAGAACATAAAAATAATGAATGTATGTGATATATTAATTTTATTTTATTTTTTAAAATGTGTTTATTTTTTGTTAAAAGAATACATTATTAATACTTCCTCCGTCATTCAAGTTTATGCTCACTTTCCTTTTTGGGTTGTCATCGAAAAATATTCTCATTTTTTTTTAAGTAAAAAATCATTACACTTTTGTATTTTTTTTTTTACTATAAAAGAAAAAAAAAATAATTATTTCTCACTTTTATTAAAACTCGTGTCTGGTCCAATGAACACACATTTGCACGACGGAGGGAGTACTTAGAAAAAAGAAAAATAAATATTTTGTTATTAATTACATTTCACGAAATTTCCAAATTATGAATAAAATACCTTAAAGTTTGGAAAGGCTCATGCAAGAATTTTTGTTTCCATTCCACATGCTTATTAATTTCGTTAAATTTCTATAGTCGTGCTACGATTTTTGACTTTGAAAAAATTTGTACAACTTATGGTATATTTATCTATGAAACTAATTAAAAATAAAACATAAATATTTTTGGGCACACAAATACATATTATTTTATATATATATGTGAACAAGACTTGATCATAAAAATTAAAATAAGTATGAGGTTGAATATTCAAAAAGATTTGAGCCATATTTAAATTAAATAAATTGTCAAACCATAATACTCCCTCCGTCCGTACAACGTTGTAATTTACTTTTTGCACATAGATTTTTGAATATTAGTATTATAATGAGTTGTAGTGAAAAAGACGAAAATATCCCTATTAATATTGTGTAATATAAAAGTAATGACATTTGTGTAATATAGTGTAAATTGAAAGCGTATTTATTATGTTACGTAGATAGTACAATTACTAAATTAGGAAATGATAACCTTGTTTTGAAACGGACAAAAATGAAAAATGACAACCTTTTAATAGGACGGAGGGAGTACTATACTTGATTCTTCTAAGTAAAAAGTGTTTGTATTATTATAGGACCTAAAATTTAATAGAAATATAATTACTAAATAATTAAGTGTTTATTCTTTTAACATTTTAAATTAAAATTAATATTATTTACTTTTCAATAAAAATAAACTATTTTTCTTCGTAAAATTTTTTTTTAAAAAAAAATTCCCTCCGAATATTATTCTTTTAAGTAATGGATGTTTACATGATTTTGTTTCATATTTATATTATTCAATTTGGAATAAGAAAAATCAAAACAAAACAAGTCACAAGTATATCTAATTTCCCTAATAAACATTTAAGTAATAAAATAAATATATCAAATATATATGACATGTTAAAATATATCGTGTATTAATAAATAGTACATAGCATATAATTTATATTAATATAATACATATGCATCTTATGAAATAAAAAAATTAGACATACATTATATAATATTTTTTAAAAAAATTAAAAGTATTATATATAGCTTCGAAATAAATTTGGAATTTCTGTATTTTTTAAATATTAAACATATAAAATATAATAAAGTTCTCGAATTTTCGAGTCCTAAAATATTTACCACGGAATAGACTAAATTTTTTTAAAATTAATTTATTTAATATTATTTAAAATTTATTACCATAGTATCGGCATAAATATGATGTTATTTTTCTGATAGTTATCAATATTTAATTATCCCGATTATATATACTTTTTCCATTTTATAAAATTATATAAAATTTGGTAGGATACGAAGACTAAAAAATAATATTACCTCGGTCCTAGAACTATAGTTTGGGTTGGGTTTGACACGAGATTTAAGAAATATTGATATTATTGGCAGTTGGTAAAAAGTACGGGTAAAAGACTTTTTTGCCATTGTGAGTGTATTAGTGTAAAAAGTAGTGACAATTGTGTAATAATAATGAAAAAGTCAGAGTAATTTTATAGTGATATGGTTATTTATGGAAATGAGATTATTGTTTTGGGACGGAAGAAATGGTAAACAAAACTATTATATTGGAACGAAGCAAATAATACTTTAATATTAAAATGACATAAATAAAAAGTAAAATTGAGGTATTCTGATAAATTTATTAAAAAATTGATGAAAAAAATAATACGCTAAGCAGTAAAAATAGTAATAAATTAATTATTATTTATTAAAATAAGAATAATAAAATTATGAATTGATAAAATTATTTATTATAAATAAATTACGTATAAATTTAAGGGAAAAAAATAATTATATAATTTTAAAGTATAGAGAGTATATATATATATATATATATGTCAAACAAATCGAATCTGAGGTAATATAAACAAGGTAGAATTCGAAAGTCAAAACCTGAGTCCTAGAAATGGAAATTAAAATAAACAAAATTTCAATAATACAAGGGTGTTATAGTAATTTTACAATTATGTACACACATGCATACGTATTATCGATAAGTCTTAATTAAGTCCTCTTATAACGCTACACGTACTATTTTATTTAATTTAAAATTCCTCTCCAAAATTATTAATTATTATTTAATTAATATTCAAAATATACTTTTCTTTTCTGTTTATTTAAATAATTAAATAATTTAGTATTTGAAGACGACGACGTTTTTGACAAAGTGATTGGCGTATGTTTGCATGCGCAATAAATGGGAGAGATAAGATGACAACTATTGTAAGGGTGGAATTTATTTTCATTTTATTTAGGACTTGTTTATTTTAAGTTTTTTCTTTTTAAAAAAAAATTATTACACCTAATGTTTATTTATATTGAAACATCATAAACTATTATTTCATTTTTATATATTCATTCTATTTTTTTTTTAATTTAATATTTTTGTTATGCAATTTTTACCATTCTTTACAATATATTATTTTTCTCACAAAATATTATATTTAATTTAACTACTTTAAATCAAAAAATTCAAATACAAATAACACACACTTTATCTTATCCTTACATTTAGGGTAATATATATAATTACTACACAATATTCATTCTCAATCAAAAAATAATATATTTACTTTTTATTCAAAAAAAAAAAATATGCATTAATTTTTTCATCTAAAAAATAAATAATTATTGAATTTAATATTTGATATAAAAATTAAATATATTTTTATAAAAATTTGTATATCTATATTAACGTGGATATATTATCAGGAACAGCAAAAGTATTTTTATATTACTAAAAATAATTTCTCATATATAATACTTTCTCCGTTCCTTATATATTTATTCGTTTGCATTTTGCACGGAGAAATACTTGTTATCTGAAGTATACATATATACTCAATATCATTTATGTGCGGAAGAAAATTAATAAATTTGTTTTTTCATACAACATGGTGACTATTTTGTAGATCGAGGTGAGTTTTTCGGTTGTTAGTAGGGGTTTTAAGAATTTTGTTTAGAGAGAGAAAGTTTGTTTCATACACTCAACCCCATCCTTTCTCGTTTCCATGTTCTAAATGAATGTTTGACACTTTAATCCGCTGGAGAGTTTGTCGGATGAAGGAATTACTGGAGTTTCGATTATTAAAGATGTCCAGATTTTAATCAGCTGTGCTCTGTGATAATTGTCCGTATGAGTTTGTGACAACACATTCATGTGGAAAAACTTTCCAGGGTAAACCATTGTGAAAGTATGGGTTGAAGGAGTTATGGTTTGTCTATGTTCTGTAATAACATAGAACTTCTCCGGAATTTGTATCTCCAGATATAAGTTGATTTATAACTGAACGTTTGTCTGATTTACTGCTTTGAACTTCTGTATTCATAATTTGGATGAAACTGTTATAACTGTTATACAATCATATTTCGGGAGTTAACCCTTTTTAGACGTTCGAAGAAATTTTTGTGGAACACTTATTTTCCATGGCATTTTATCTTTCAATTTATCATTTGCTTGTTATTTCCATCATCACTACGAGAGTGATCACGATTGAAAATATATAATTATTTTTGTTATTAATATTTTTAAAATTTGAATTATTTATTAATATATTCAGTATTTGAAATTTTTATTATTTTCTCTTTCCACTATAAAAATCTACATATTTTTATATTTAGTTGCTCAATTACAAAATATTTATTTATTTTTTTTAATAATTATAAATTTTACTTTTATCTATAAATAATCTTATTTTACTATTATATCAATATTTTTACATCAAAAAATAAACATAAAATCATATTTACAATACTTTTAACTACATATTTTGATTAAAATATTGTAATTTTTTAAAATTCTACACCAAAACTAATTATTTACTTTCAAAATGGACAGAAAGAATACATTAGTATATTTTATGACTTATAAAAAAATATTATACCTCATTCGTCCCAATTCAAAAAATATATATATTTTTTGATTATTTTTATCTGTCTCATTTCAAATTATTTCTTTTTTATTTTTAAAAAAGTAATCATACATTAATATCAAAATACTTTTAATTTTTATTTAAATTACAAATATATCACTAGTCAAATGACAAAAATGTCAAAAACTTTTACACATTTCTACTGACTAATAAATTTTGCGAGGAAAGAGTATACACGTGTATATTACCCAAAAAAGAGGGTTTTCCGATTGTCCCCAAAATCGGTCTTGAACCTGGCCGTTACGATCTCTAAGTAATACGTTGTATAATTAGACAATGATTAATAAATTAATCAACCACGTTTATTGACTCAAAAATAAATAAATAAATAAATAAATAGATAAATAATAATAATAATAATAATAATAATAATATGCAGACACCAAACACGTCTCTAATATTCAAACACTTCATTTGACCTTCTCCCACTGTTCCCATTAAGTTTCTTCTCTAACCTTCTTTCTCTCTCTATAAATATATATATATATATACACATACATATAAACATACAGTTGGAAAAATCCATTATTACAAATCCAGAGAGAAAAAAGGATTTTGATTACATAGCTACTACAATATCGGTCGGCGGCGGCGGAGGATTACCGGAAAAAATGGCCGGAAAAGAGCGGACGCTGGAGGCGACGCCGACGTGGGCCGTCGCCGTCGTCTGCTTCGTCTTGGTCGCGATTTCGATTCTCATCGAACAGCTCATTCATCGCATGGGATCGGTAATAATAATAATAATAATAATAATAATAATAATAATAATTAATATATCATATATATATATATATTTATTTATGGGTTTGATAATTAATTTCAGTGGCTAAAAAAGAAGAAAAAGCCATCGCTGTACGACGCTCTGGAGAAGATTAAAGCAGGTTTGTGTGGATACCAGATAAAATTGTAAATTTAATATTTTATCCCATCTTCGTCCGCCTCTAAGAGTCTCATATTATATCTAAATATATTCGTCCGCCTCTAAGAGTCTTATAATGCAAATTAAAAAAAAAAAAGCAAAAATATAATGCAAATTAAGAAAAAAATGCAAAAATATTTTCATTAGTGTCTTATAATACTAATAAAATAATATTTATATAAAAAATTTAATATTAAAAAAAAAAAAGATAAATGTAACCCTTATAAGCTGACGAAGTAAGTAATATATATATATATATTTGGTATGATAAATTAAGATGAGGTGATTGTTTGTCTTGATTTTTAATTATTTGTTAATTAGTGCATTAAATGTGACATTTTATATATAAAAAAAGTAATATAATAATAATATGTTTACATAAAATCACGAGGACTAGATAGGAAATAATTAAACTAAAAAATTCTAAAGTATAAATTTTTTATTTTTATATATTTTTCACCGATATATTTACATAAGATAATTCGAAACAACATACACAAATTTTTATTCGTATTTGAATTATTTTTATTTCTATATTTTTACTATTCAACCATTATACATTTTTTTTTTCATAAATTATTATACAAAAATCGCTATTCATATAAGTATAATAATAATAATAATCAATTAAACACACCATTATTATTTTTCCGAGGATAATTGGAATAAATACAAGATTAAATTTGTTATATTTTTCCAATAAATATGTAACATATGTATATATAGTTATATTGTGAGCATTTTCTTCCACATTTACATTGAAATGTTTTTTTTTTATTTAATTTTTTATGCTAATATTATTTATTTAATTTAAAAATAAATATGTGTAGAGTTGATGCTGTTGGGGTTTATTTCATTGCTGCTAACATTGGTGCAAAGTCCATTGTCCGATATATGTGTTCCCAAAAGCGTCGGACATTCTTGGCATCCTTGCCCCGAAAGAAAAGAAGACGAATTCGACGACCCTTGTCTCAAAAAGGTAATAAAAAATTTCGAAAAAAAAAATCTTCGACCCACTCGGCGAGCCAATTTTATTATTAATATTTCATTCATTCATAAAAAATAATTGAATTAATTTATTAATATGTCGACTCCCTAAAAATAATTTTAATATTCCACCGATCGATAAATGGTCCGATACAAGCGTGCCGGAATATTTTACTTAGGCTTAAAATATTAAATGTCTTTTTATCTAAAATGGTAATGTAGTTTTTTTTTTTCCTAATATTTTTTGCTAATTAAATAAGAATTGTTAAGAATTGAAAAAATTAAGCTAGGGTACAAGTATTGCAGGGGAAGGTACAAGTGGTATCAGCGTACGGGATTCACCAGCTGCATATTTTCATCTTTGTGTTGGCTGTGGCTCATGTGCTCTATTGTGTTGTCACCTATGGCTTGGGAAAACTCAAGGTATACATACATATATATATATATTTAAATATATATTATTTTTTATCATATTAAAAAATTATTTAAATAAAAGATTAAATTAAATAATTTTTTTTCAAATCAATTTCTAACCACCACGAGCAAATAAATCTTCAATTATATTCCAAGCTTTATGTTAAAATTTTGTAAAGAGCTTAAAATTCAACATTTGTGTTCTTTGATGATTTTTTTTTTTTTTTTTTTTAGTTGGAACGTAATATTTTGTAATATATATTATAAAAAATTATGGAAATTTAAATAGTGAAAATTGTGAATTATGTAATTAGAAGACAAATTAATAATTAAATTGAAGTAACAAAATTATTTTGTTTTCTCAAATGTGTTACACACTTTATATGAATATTTATTATGAATTTATTTCTATTAGAAAATTTTCACTAATTTGTATTTGAATTATTTATTAATTAATTAATTAATTAATTAAAAATGCAGATGAGGAAATGGAGATCATGGGAGGATGAAACCAAGACTATTGAATATCAATATTACAATGGTCAGTCTTTATTCACATTTTATTTATTTATTTTTATTATTTCTCAAATTATTATTTCATTCTTAATTATTCAAAAAAATTTAAAAACAATGCCGTTATAATTATATTTACTCACTTTTAATCTTACTGTAGATTAGAGCCGGCAATGGGTTGATTCGTGTCGGGTTTGTGTCGGGTTGAATACTTTAAACGGGTTAAATTACTCAACTCTAACCCGACTCGTTTATTATCGTGTCGGATTCGGGTTGACTCGTGTTGACCCGTATACATAATTAAGTCGAATTTCGTGATTCAATCTAAATAATTTTTTGTTATGTTGCTGTGTTATGTTTGTTTTTATTGGTTTGAGCGTAAATTATGTTGAATTATTTAAAATTGAACTTAGTTTAAATTAATTTATGAGAAAATTATTAAATTATGATTATTTTACATATATAATAAATATATTAATCAATATTAATATATTATAATCGGGTTGTCGTGTCGGGTTCGAGTTGAGACCCTCAACCCTAACCCGACCCGTTTACTATCGTGTTGGGTTCGTATCGACTCGTATACATAATCGAGTTAAAATCTTTGACTCAAACCCAATTATTTCGTGTCGAATCTTATCGAATTGTCGTGTCGGGTCAGTTTTTGCACTGTATATATTAAATTAAACTAATTACTTTACATTCAAAACCCATCAATTATTAATATTATTGAAGATAAATAATAAAAAGAAAATAAATAGTTTTTTATAATAGTTTTAAATATTTTTTACATGCAAAAAAATTATGGGCACGTGTCATCGTGGATTGATTGGTAACGTAAATTGGTCAAATTTCTAAAGTCCAAAATATTTTAAATATATTTGAATTTGTTGGTTGAATGATTTATTGGATCATTGGCTATAATAATAATAATAATAATAAGTAGATCAAGTATTTAATATTATATTTTAATAAAATTTGACATATTCAAAACAATGGATGACGTGGCAGATCCAGAGCGATTTAGATTTGCGAGGGACACGTCATTTGGGCGCCGACATTTGCACTTTTGGAGCAAGTCGCCTGTGCTTCTCTGGATTGTAAGGCTCTGTTTGTTTGCATTTTTTTAGAATCTGACAATTTACTTTTTTTCTACTTATAAAAGTCGTTATTTGATAAGTCAAAAGAAAATAAATCTAGCCTACAAATTTGAAGTTAGATATTTTATTCGAGGATTGTTAAGACATTAGTTTTAATCATCAAAAAAAAAAAAAAAAAAGACATCACATTATATATTATTATTATTATTATTATTATTATTATTATTATTATTATTATTATTATTATTATTGTATCTTCAATTTTTTTTAATTTTTAATTATAGTTATAGTCGTATTATTGGGACAATTTCAGGTATGTTTCTTCAGGCAATTTTTACGATCGGTTGCCAAAGTGGATTACTTAACACTTAGACATGGATTCATAACAGTAAGTTAGTTATTACATCATTTGCTTTTCCGAATACCAAAATAAACAACATTAACTAATTACTCTTCGAAATATCGATCGATCATTAGGCACATTTGGCACCACATAGCCAAGAATCCTTCAATTTTCACAAATACATCAACAAATCTCTTGAAGAAGACTTCAAAGTCGTCGCCGGGATAAGGTAATATTCTCATATTCTTCTCTATAACAATTTGCTCGATCATAACTTTATCTTCAAATATTTTTTAATTAAGTCACACTAAGTAACGGTATTATCGCAATAAATGTAGCCCGATAATATGGCTTTGCGCGGTTCTCCTCCTCCTCACCAACACCAATGGTTCGCTCTCTCTCTCTCTCTCTCACTCTCTCTCTCTCTATATATATATGTATAATATGATAGGCGTTATGATATTGATTGTAATTAATTAGCATCGTATTGACAATATATGAAATATAAATTGATAATGCATATTGTATTAATTCAAATTATATGCTGACAATTTATATTTCACGTGTTATAATATGATGTTGATTAATATCTAATTAATATCTTAACTATTTTCATATATATATATTATGGATATAAATTGTATAGTTAATTTTTTATACATATATTTTAACTCAGTGTAAATCAAAATTGAATTTTTTCTTTATCAAGAATGTGATTTTTATCAAAGATTGTTTGAAATTCAAAGGATGAGTCTCCAAAAATTTAAAATAAAAGTATAATTTTTGTAAAAATATACGACAACATAATTATTGGTTTTTTTGTTTTTTTTTTTTTGAAATTTGGTTTCATTTTTTTTTTTTAACAATTGTTTATAAAAGTGCATTATTATTACAAAATACTATATTCAAATTACTATTTAAAAAAAAATAAACTAAAAAAAATAAACATCCATTATAACATTATAATTGTGAGATAAATGTAATATATATATATATATATTTTTATCAAATCAATTTTTAAATTTTTATTTAGTTTTATGTATAAGACTAACAATAATGTTTTGTTTGTTTCTTTGTATAAACAGGGTGGTATTCACTTTATTGGCTGCCATTTATTCCTCTAATTGTGAGTGAAATTTTACTAATATCATTATTATTTATTAAATATTGTAAGTTTATGTTGTTATTATATGAAAAAAATTCACATAATGTGTGAACCTACTGCCGTTAATAATTGATGAAAATGTACTGAAAACCTATATGGTTCAAACAAAATCCTTAATCGAATTTATTCAAAATGAAGATTCGAGTATTCTGACATATATAACTATGAGCATTGCAAGAACATTTTCATCAATTAAGTTTGCTTTTTTAAAACCGATATAAATTTGGATTCAACTTTAAATGAGACAAAATTTACATATTTGTCTTCATAACAAGTGTTCGCGATATGACTTTTGCTATTGGTTTGATCTATGCAGATAATTTTACTCGTGGGAGCAAAACTACAAGTGATCATAACAAAAATGGGGATCCGAATCCTCGAGAGAGGAGACGTGATCAAAGGCACCCCGGTGGTCCAGCCGGGCGACGACTTGTTTTGGTTCAACCGGCCCGGCTTGATCCTCTTCTTGATCCACTTCGTTCTCTTTCAGGTAACTTCACGATCTTCTCGTATTATATTTACTTTCGATGTTTTTGAAGTTTTGAAATAATTTAAAAATAGTAAAAAAAAATTGAATATTCATTACGAGGGTAATAAGTATTTAATGTGATTTTTTCTTTTGAAAAAATTACAATTAACGAATAATAATAAAAGTTGCATAAAACATATATATATATATAAACAAAGCTATAAATCTTTATATCTATCTAAACGCAAATTCATTTATATAATACTATTTCAATTCAAAATTTTTATTATCAAATCCCAAATTCAATCTTAACTTTGAAGAATCGCGCCCTTAATGATTATAGCTAAGTTCATTTGTATTTTTGACGTTCTTTTCACAATCTAAAATCAACTTTTTTTTTTTTTTTATATACAAAACTTCACGTCCGACTACTGTTTTATTGTTTGCAGAATGCATTCCAACTTGCTTTCTTCGCGTGGAGTTGGGTAAGTAATTAAACAACTTTGTCGTAACATTGAAATTTCTATGACAATGTTCGATGCAAACATTCATAACATCCGTGTTTGTGTTTGTGTTTGTGTTTGTATTTGTATTTCTTCGACAGTATGAATTTGACTATCCCTCTTGCTACCATGAAAATATCGAGGATATTATCATTCGCATTGCGATGGGGTGCGTAAATATCTTTCTATCTAATAAATAAATAGTTCTCAATGATATATTCAATATGTTCGATCTAACGATAAATTATTGTCCGATTTTTGTAGGATTTTGATTCAATTCCTTTGTAGCTACGTGACTCTCCCTCTCTATGCCTTAGTCACTCAGGTATTCTTACCATCTCTAAAGTTGCATTTGAGTCCTTTAGAAAGAGTCGATTTTCAATTCATTCTTATTATGTATCGGAATTTATACATGAAGATTAATTGATTGCTTTATAATAAAATTTATTCAAAATGATATATAAAATTTATACATTTCTGCATAAAATCTTTAAAGAATATAAGCAAATTATAATCTTTGAAAAGTCTTGCAATATTCTCATATAAGATTTAAACACTGAACGGAGTTACACGGTATTTTAAAAAAAGAAAAAAGATTTTTGTTAAATATTTTAAAATATGAGATTATTTTACGTCATTTCTCAATAATAGATTTTTCAAACCATGTTATGCCTAGAATACAATATTCACTCTGTCAATTCAAAGTATCAATTTTTATTTTTTTCAATCGTTTCACTTCAAATTATTCATTTCCTATTTTTTTTTAAAAAAATTACTAATATCAAAATAGTATTAATTTTAACTTAAATTACAAATATACTATTATACATAAAGTTAAAAACAAAATATCAAAAATCCTTGCGTACTTCTACTAAATACTAATGCTACGTACTGTCATTTTTATTATGTTTAACACAATTTTTTTAGATATTATTTTCTTCAGTTTATTATTATTATTACTATACTTTTAACATAATAAATTTTGCTAGTTTTATTTATTTATTTTATCTTTACTTTTTAATCAACATAATTTTTAAAATTATATTAATAATAATAATAATAATAATAAACCTGTAAAAATGAAACATTGCAAAAGTGTGTCGTAACATTCCAAATTAGCCAAGAAATTTGAGACAAAGTGAGCACAGAATAGTTTTTTTTTTTTTTTTTTTTTTTTTTTTTTACTTCAAATAAATTTATAAATTATAATTTAGAATGCTAAAATTGGAAAAAAAAATATATATATATATAAAGGGAGAAAATTTACAATTTTTTTGGAATATATATATATATATATAAAGAGAAACATTACAATTTTTTTTTTTTTTAAAAAGTACTCGTACATTAAAAATAATAGCAAAAGATGTAAAACAGACGATCAGTTTACTAAATCGAGCAACTTTTTGTCGTACTAGATGGGATCGAACATGAAGCCGGTAATCTTTAGCGACCAAGTGGCGTCGGCTCTTCGGGGATGGCATCAAATGGCGAAGAAGCACATGAAGCAAGGGCGGCACTCGGCGAGCACGACGCCGTTCTCCAGCCGCCCTCCGTCGCCGCTACACGGGAGCATGTCCCCCGTCTATCTCTTGCGCGGCCACAAAATCCACAACGACAACACCAGCGTCGACGGCATCGGATACAACCCGCACGCCGTGTCCCCGCGAGCGTCGAGCTTCAGCAACGACGGCGACAGGACATCAGTCTCCCCGCGCCACCGCGAAACACCGCCGGATAACTACGAAACCAACAGTAGCTTGTACCCGAGCGAAATGGACAAGGATTTCGAAGATCGACCCGAGTCGAGCAACAGAGGGCAGCACGAAGTTCGTATAAGTTTAGACGATTTCTCTTTCAGGAAAAAAGGGAGCGTTGGCGAAGCGCGCGCCGGCGCTGCTGGCCGCTCGATGTGAATAATATCGACAATTTAACAAATTCTTTTAAATATTTGTCATTTTTCCGAAGTAAATTAGTCGAAGACACAATTTTTCTTCAAAATATGCGATTCTAATTGAAACATTGTAAAAACCAGCTTCGTTCTAACGATCAACAACATATAAGGTGTCAAGCTATAAGAGAAGGATGTCATAATTAACATACGCAAAAATTCTTTTCCTCGATTTGTAGCGAAATGAAAACTGGAGAAAGCGTACGTGTATAAGGTTGCGTTATCATAGAGAATTTTAGACATTTTCCGAAGCATCTTCCGTCCTTTGTGCAGCAGCGAGTCTCTCGGCAGCCAATCTTTCTTCCAGTGCCCGAGCACCTCTTTCCCTGCAAAGCGCGCATAATTCTTTTAGGCTCTTGATATGTGCTAAGGTAAGTCAATGCATAAATCATCTAATTTATACAAATTCACGATAAAATGATTAGCTAGCGCATGAAAATTGACAGTAAATGAAGGAAAATTGATCGAAACTCCCAAATGTTTTCCATGGAATGGTAACTATGGTGGATATTAATTCTATCATCTATACTAATAAGTGAATAAGATACAGCAAATTACTGTTACAACAGTAAGCATGCTAAAAAGATCGAAGCTCTAGTTATGAACGGGTATATGAACATCGTGCGAGAAAAATGGAAAAATTGCACAATATCCACATGAATTATATATAAATTGGTCACTAAGACAATAACACAAGCGGATCTTTCAAAATTGATGGTAATAATTGATCCTTGTTAATTAGTGGCAAGAGATGTTACCTCCTTCTAGATGCTTCAATGGGATCTGAACCCGGTAAGGAAGTGCCTCCCAATGTATAGCCCCGTGTCTCGGGAGAAGCTTCGGATCTTCTTCCACAACAAATCCGTTCAAAGATTGTACCAATAGGATCGATTACTGGTCTGCATTTTTTAGACCCGAAACATATCTTTAGAATGCATACAGATTTAAGAAAGACAACATATTTGGTGGTGATGATGTATCTGGAATTGAAATAAAATGACACACATTGACTATTCCCTTTATTGAGTTTACTATCCGAGTACCCTGGATCAAAATTCTTCGACCTGTTGAACTAAATAAACATAGAATTTTAGGCATAGGATTAAGGTCCATGTCCCTAAATTAGGAAGCTGCAAACCTTAAGCCAAACTCGTGGTCGAAATTCATTCATGAGATACATTTTCTATATCATGGAAGAGAATATTGAACAAGAGATAATACCACAAACTTCATACTGAGAAAACGTCAAAAACAATATTAATCAAACGAATTCTGATTGTTTTTGCAGCCAATGGTATCTTTAATTAGGGGGCAAAAGGCTAACTCTAAGCATAAATCTAACTCCTTGACAATATTCAATCAGAAATCTGATAACTATTTGTAATATGATATATTTCAAACTAAAAAAGAGAACATATGACAAATGCATAAACCTAGAACCCAAAATTGGTTTATGCAACCTTCAGAGTCAATTTTAAAGATGTGTGACTTTGATGCGATAGAGATTCCATTAGATCATATCAGGTGATAAAGAAAGTCTGAAAATGCCATTAACAATAAGTGTCAAGGTAACACATCTATTTATTCATGTAAAGTCACGTCTCATCCAAAATCTTTGATTCCCATAATATAATGCATGCAGTCTCCTGACCAACCATATAATCGCCTAAAATCCTTAACTAAACTATTTTAAATATTTTCTTATTTACTACCAAAATAGATTTGCTTAAGAAACAACCCAGAAGGCATTCACCGGAAATCAGCAAGGAATAAGATCCAACTAAATAACCAAAGCATAATTACCTTAAAAATTCAGGGAAGAATGTAGAGAATGCAAATTCATCACTTGGATCACCCCGCAACTTTGTTTCTGGCTTACTTTGCCAATATCTAAGGTAGATCCAACCAATGTAGGTGCCAAATATTATAGTAGGAACATATGATAATGATTCTCCTGTGAAAAAACACAGAAAAGTGGACACCAATACAGACAGGGAAGGCAACCACTGCAAGAGAGTTATATTAAATGAATATCAGAAGATGAAAGAGAACATTTCTCAGCTTATTAGACTAATGCATAAATAATTTGACATAAGTAGCATTAAATCAAATAAAAAAGTTGCAAAGATCTAGCTTGTACTTTGGCTTTTATCTTCAACGAAGACAGCTCTTGATCCGGTATTATCTGTTTAATGCCAACTAGCAACCCGGAAAGGACAGCTTGAAAACCAGAAATAGGATGATAACTGCAAAGAAATACCACTACAAAAATGAGAACTGCACTGCATTGATGTTTGATAGGCAAACAACCATTGTATTACGTGCATTTGGTTAATAGGAAACACCAAGGGAGATCAAATATTGATACAGGGCTTCACAAATTTTAATTAAAAATTTAAAATATACCAAAGAATACACGAAGGCCAACGCAAAATCCAGACTTAGAAAAATCATGATACACACACTTTTCTGCAGCAAAGATTGCCATTGCATGACTTACAGGTATGCTTCCTCCTGTGTAATGTAGTACAAGGAAATAGAGGTGATGAAAACAAATACTGATGTCAGAAAGTTCACGACAAATATGAACTTCAGAAATTCTCTAGAACCCCATATAGGTTCAAGCAGCTTCCCAATGAAAAGGAGACCAATTGTGTTGACTACCACCTGGAAAGACCAATCATATCTCAAAAAAGCGACATAAAATGAGGAATCGGACAAGTATAAACTTTAAAAGCATATGCAGTACATACCCCAAGTATTGACTGTTCAAGATATCCAGCGGTAATGAGATTCCAACCAAATGGAATAGTCCTATGTTAAAAAGAACAAATGGTTAAAGTGACCAAACTTTTGGCTTTTGACTCCACCTTGGGGTAGAAATCAACAATACTAAGAGCAACCCCTTTACTAAAAAGTTCTAATCAGCAAGTAAATTATCAAAAACTTATCAAATCAAAAAGATTCCGACGAAGTTGAACCAATCTTCATATAATGAATTTATCTAAAGAAAATTATATGTACACTTTAACTAAATGTTTTATTCAGCAGTGTAAGTTATTGATCATCAGAGCAACAATCTTCGATACAAAGCTTAATCAGAGTTTACAAAAACATGTAACTTGCAACAATCTTGAGGCAATGATTTCATCTATAGTAAATGATAAAAAAACCTATCCTATATGTGCAATTTAAACTTAATAGACCTCACAATGAGGTAACTTGTAACAAAACAACTTCACCTCTGAAATGGGCGAACATCCCCAACCATTGGAACAAAAAATAGAGCCCCATCACTTACAAAGAATAGCCTCTTGAAATCTCACAACACCTCTCCGATTAATATCTTCAGCATTCGACTAAAATTTATCATGTATTTCAAAGTTTACACTATAATCTTCAAACCTAAAGCGAACCAATTTTCAATAGAACCATACTTGCACTTTGCCATTGAATTTGTGGCTTGCATGCTACCGTATTTTTGCAAGGACTTCTAGCTTCTATCTTTTACTTCTAACAAGAATTAGAATCGAAAATGAAGATTAGAAGCAGACGTAGTTGGCAAACAACAACAACAATAATAGAAAAATAAAGAGATCAAGAGAAGCTAATCTCTTCTAGCTAAAAAGTACTCATTTTTCAGTAAATAAAAGCACATCAATCTTACATTATTCTTCACACCAATTTAACAATGATGCACAATAACCAGTCCATAGCCAAAAATAAAAAATAAAAAAGCTCATCAAATCAACATGAAGAGAATTAGAGGCACCAATGATTCCCTAGCTCAGAAACGACAGGAAACAGCTACTCACACAAATTTACATGTTACACAACAGAGAGACGAGAAAAAATCATTCATAAGCCAAATCAAACAAGCACAGTGACGAAAATCGTACTTGGCCGGGATGAGGGCCAGATAGGACACAGAAATTGGCAAAATCTGAACAACAATGTGGCCGCCGATCAATACAACAGCCAATCCCTTGCACAACCTCGTAAATCCCGCATAAGAGCTCATCGTACCCTGACGCAGAGCGGTGATCAAACCCTAATTTCAGATCTGATTGTGCATTGTTTCACATGTACGCATTTGGATACACATGGATGCGAAATGAATCAAAATTAAAACCGATAATGTGAGCTTACTCCTGATGGCTGTTGAGCGCTCATCCTGGGGCGGTGGCGGTTGAAGCGTCGTCGGCTATGGCGGAATTGACGCAATTTTGGAAAGCAGAGCGACCGACGTGTTTCTTCGTGGAGAAGAAGACGATAAACGACAAATAAGGTACAAGGACGGTGCTGCAATTAATTAGTTTGCGAGGTCAAGTTTTGAAAATATCAATTAGATCCTTATAATATTTGGAAATTTTAATTAGACCCCTACTAATATTTTGGCCACGTTTGAATTGGCTTGACTTCATGTTTTTAAAAAATATTTTATACTTTTCGAATTTCAAATACAGTACCTCTTGACATTTTTTTTAGTTTCAAATACGTCTAAACATTTTTTTTTTTTTTTTTGTTTATCACAACGCATTGGATGTGTTTTTTAACAACAACAATAATAAAATATATCTACATATTTTTTTCAAATATATTAATAGATTATATTATATATATTTATTATTTTTATATTTTTTATTCTCTAGTACATAGAATTTTATTTTATTTTTTTTTAAAATCATCTCATAAAATAAGTATGTTTATAGTATTTTTAAAATTTCAACCTTTTTGGGTTTTATTTGGAGTTTACTCACACTATTAAATTCGATTCAAAATTTAATTGTAGCGCACTCTTACGAACTTTTAAAAAAAATACTTCCTCTGTCCCACGAGAGATGAATCCTTTTATTAGGGACATGAATTTTCCAGTAGTATAAATTAGTAAGTTATTAATAATAAGTTATGATATTAATTTATTATTTTTTATATGAATAATACTATTGATATTTTAAAATTTTTTAAGATTATATCTCAGAAAAAATTATGCAATATGGATATCAATAAGAATTTTAAATATAGATAAAAATTTATGTTAATTAAGGAGAAAGATAGAAATAAAATATCCTCTTTTGTGGCATATTAAAAAAAAAAGAGATCATCTGTATGGAACGGATGAAGTATTATTTTTTCCATTATCAAAATGTGTATGCCAATTTAATTGGACATATGTTTTAAAAAAAAACAAAAAAAAAATAGATATATCTATTTTTTAAGATAAAAAAATAAAAAAAATTGATACTTTTTATAAAAGAAGAATTGACAATAAATATAAAATGACAAAAAATCAAATAAAATTAAATAACAGAGACAATATATCATTTGGTCTGTTTTAGTTAAATTGTCACTTTTATTTAAGCATGAGTTTTAGGTATTTGATAATTAGTAAATAATAAATAAAATGTATAATTATATTTAAAGAAAATGACAATAGTACAAAATAAAAAAAAAATAGACAAGTGAGAATAAAAGAGTAATAAATGGATAGTGATACAATAGTGAACTAAGAATTTTTTTTCTCTAGCTCTGTTTTGGATTGGATCACTGTGCAAACCCAAAATTGGGCGGGAGGAGGTTTGGGGGACAGACTTTGAATCTGTCTTTTTTCTTTTTTTTCTTTAAAAAATTTATAAATATAAAAAAGAATTATATTGATTATAATTTAATAAAATATATACAATATATATATGTTATTTTTGTAAAGAATAAATTTTTTTATAATACAAATAAATAAAAATTTAAAAATATATAAAGATAATTATATACTCACAAGACAAAAGAGTCATCTATCTTATTTTTTACCAACTGTCCACGTAATATAATATTTCTTAAATCTCACTTTTGGAACGGAGGAGGAAGTATAAATTTATAATTAAATTATATATTTATATTATTATATTTATACTCATCAAATCAATATATATCAAAACTCTTCACACTCCAACTAAACTCAAATCCAAAAAAACATCAAAATTCAAACTATCTCAAAATTCAAATAAAAATCAAAATTCAAACCCAAATTTTTCTAGAACTTTCTAAGGAACACACACCATAATTAATTTAAAATAAAATATTAATTTAAATTTTTATTTAAAAAAATAGGTAATAGAGTTCGATTTTTATTTTAAATATAACTAAACAGACATTTCTGCGTCGTCGTCTGCAGTGAGGGTTCCCATTGAAGAGCATCTTCTCCATTTCCAGAAAAACAAAGGTTAATTTTCTTATTCACGTTATCGATTCACTTTCTCGATTCTATTGCTTCATCTCAGGTGATGAAAATGCTGTCTTGTCATGTAATTATCACTGTTTTCATTCATTTTCTGATCGGTGCATATGAATTGGTGCGCACTTTATTCGACAAAATTCCTCAAAGAGCAAAAAAGGCTTTCTTTGCGATATTTCTGCTTAATTTGTTGCCAGAGGTGGCTATAGAGTTTGTTCTATTTTGCACAATGGTGTTTAGAATTTATTGTTGATCTTTTGGGCTATGCATTCAGTCAATGAAAGATGTAATGGAGTTGAGAACTGAAGGAATATGCTGCATGAGCTAGGCTTAGGGTTTATAGAAACAGAAGGAAGATTTCTGGTCAAATTGTTGATAAAGTTGGGATTTGTGAGCAAATTGGTTCCATTTTCTAGCATTTGATTTTTACATATTAGTTTAATAGTATTAGCTAGTGTTTTTACTTTGTTCTTTTTCTCTGAGCTGGTGGCATTGGTATATAAGGATGGTTTTGACTATTTCTGCCTTTAGGACTGTTCAATCAAATGGCTTTGGCAAGTTGCAGAAGTAATAGGTTCATAAGCTATCTCATGAGCTTCAGCCGATTCTTCTCTTCAACTCCCTTTGGTCCACCGCCTCCTTTGCCTTCTCGCAGAGTTGTTGTCACAGGTACTTCTGAAGTAATTCTTCTATCTGGTGATATAAAGATGGGGGAAGTGTTTAATTTAACGGATACCTGACTTGTTTCCCTAAAAAAATGTATTTGGAAATATAGTGTAATAGTGATAACAACTAAAAGTTAACAATCATATAGAAATTGGCAGTTTGACCTAATTCATGTCTCTCATATTTTTAAGTCTGGTTATATTTCAATTCTAAGCATTAATGGTGTGATTAGAAGTAGCTGTATAGTGATTAAATTCAATGGGCTTGAGTATTACCCTACTTGTTCTATCCAGATAATTAATCTCAATTTTTAGATTATTGTTTATGCTGATGCCACTGCAACACGACAGGTAGCTATAATTCAGTTTTGTGGTTACACTATGATAGGTTTAGGGATGGTTACACCTTTAGGTTGTGGTGTGGAAGCGACCTGGAAACGTTTAACTGAAGGGGAGTGTGGAATTAGAGCAGTAACTATTGAAGATTTGAAAATGAATGGTTTCGATCTGGAAACACAGCAGCAAACTTTTGATCAATTGACATCTAAAGTTGCTGGAGTTGTACCCTGTGGATCCAACCCGGATGAATTTGATGAGGAGTTGTGGCTTCACTCTAAGGTAGCACTTGTTGATTATGTCATTTATATTTTCAATGATTGGAAGAAGCACTCTACAAGAAGTCTAAGCTGATAATTCTGAGGCAACATTAAGAATGATCACGCAAGTGCTCCCTAAATCTTGATTTCTACAATCATAGCCTAAATGTAAAAGGTTTGCTTCATAATGTGCTGCTTTGTGATGCTTTAGACTGTATCCTCTGGAGATATCCTCTGAAGATTCACCAACAAAACAAGTGAAACTAAACTACATTGAGAACAAAAATTGTGAACTTCACCATTCACTTCTAGCTCTAGGTTTTTCTGTGATGAAAGTTTATTAAATGACATTATGAATTCGTGATAAGAGAATGCTAAGATATGAGTCAACATAGAATACATTCCATTAATGTGACAAATTCTGAATTTTCAGAAAGCCATTGAATTTTGCTATTCTGCTTTTTAACTATGGGCCAGGATCACAGGTCTATTGCCAGGTTTATAAGTTATGCACTTTGTGCTGCTGAAGAGGCTCTAAGAGATGCAAATTATATGCCCACCCAGCAGGATGAGAAAGAAAGAGTGGTAACTTGTTCATGTTATGGTACTTTAAAGTTTCCATGATTTTCTTTTGTGAGTAACTCCTAATATCTGACTCTAAAATCATCAGGGAGTTTCTATAGGTGCTGGGACTGGTAGCATTTGTGATATACTGGATGCTTCAAAAATGATTTGTGAGAAGGTTGGTTGTAGTTGCTAATTCAAGCCAAACAGCAGCTATTTGTTTGTTGTTGTGATGCAAAAGTTTAAGGACACAATTTTGCGAGGGACAGAGGTGGGAATCCTCTGTGAGCTGTGAGAATCGAAGCAGGGGAATTTCATTTTCTTTTTAATTCACTAATTTATTCAATGTTAGCTTGTAGATGTTCTGACTGTTGGGTGATTTTTTTTAATTTCTTTCTTTAAAATGCAGAAACTACGCCGGTTGAGTCCATTTTTCATTCCGAGGATACTTATTAACATGGCTTCTGGCCATGTGAGCATGAAGTATGGATTTCAGGTATGCTCTTTTTTTTTGATGAAATATCTGCTTTTGAGGAACATTTGAAAATTTTAGATGCCTCATGTTAGTGGTTTATTTAGATTTCTTTATTATTGTGGCCACAAAGATGAGACATTTTTGAGGACAGCTTGGTTTACATTCCTAATCTTAATTTTGAATAGGGACCAAACCATGCAGCAGTGACAGCTTGTGCAACCGGGGCACATTCTATTGGAGATGCGGCCAGGATGATTCAATTTGGGGATGCAGATGTTATGGTTGCCGGGGGAACTGAGGCAAGCATTGATGCATTGTCCATAGCCGGATTTTGTAGGTAACAGAAAATCATGACTATTTAATTTAGAATGCTTTCGCATTCTATTATCTAAAGGCTTTGAAATAACTCTGCAAAGAATGCACTGATAATTTCAGTTTCTATCTTTGATTTCCCAATTGTTTGGAAGTCCGAAGCATGTAAATGGGTGATTTTAAATTTTCAATGGCCATTTATACGCGGATGGTGATTAAGTCTATGGGATGCTATTTAGAAATTCCATCGAGTATGCTACTGAAATACCTATAAGCTTTCTTGGTTCTGTGATGAATGTAACTTGAGAATCCGATTCAAACCGTAGGAAATATATAAAACAAACAAACACTTTTTGTATCCAGGTCTAGGGCACTGACAACCAAGTATAATGATGTTCCTCAAGAAGCCTCGAGACCTTTCGACTCTGCTCGAGATGGATTTGTGTAAGTAGTGGCTAAAATTGTTTTTTTGGTATTATTCTCTAAAACCTTTACTTTGTCATTCTTCTACTGTTCTAATCAGCTGCTGACGCACAGTATAGGTGAAGGTTCTGGAGTCCTGGTCTTGGAGGTGAGTGTTGCTCCTCGTATGTCAAATCAAACACACATTCGATCATTTCCTACACCTTGCAAACTGAATAAGTTCAACAATTTAGACATTACAAGTTTTGGTATTTCAATATTTTAGGAACTCGAGCATGCAAAGAAGCGAGGAGCTCGAGTGTATGCAGAGTTTCGCGGTTATGGGATGTCAGGTACCTTCTTTAACCATCAGATTCTAACGAGGTTTTCTTATAGATATCTGAAGTTCATTCTATATACATATATTTACTTTCTTAAGGCGATGCATATCACATTACTCAACCACATGGTGATGGAAGAGGAGCCTTTTTAGCCATGGCCTGCGCTCTGAAACAGGTACTTAACAGTTCTTATTGATGTTGAATACCGTTCTTGCCATGTTTTGAAAGTCTCTTGATGAAATCGACGGTGAAATATATTTGTGTACAAGGTTTAGATTAAGTAGAATTATTAAACATCGCCATGGTGTTCTTTCCGCACATGCAAATCTTAAGACACTTAGGTATAATATTAAGATTCCCTTATCGATGATGTTAAAAACACTTTATTTAGTAAAAGAACTTTCATGTTTTCTGTGATTGGCAGTCGGGCTTGAAACCTAACCAGGTGGATTACATCAATGCACATGCTACTTCTACTCCTTTGGGTAAATCTGAATTCAGCTATAACTTTTTAAAACATCGAAATTGCAATTAATCAGGCTGCTGAGCTCCGATAACATATCAAATGAAACTTCCGTGCAGGCGATGCAGTGGAAGCAAAGGCAATTCAGTCCTTATTTTGTAGTCACGCAACATCGGGTTCTTTATCTCTGTCCTCCACCAAGGTAATACTGGGACGGCCCTTCTATACAAATCACAATTTGCTTTGTTGGAGTATTTTCAGTTAGGGGTCGGCAAAAAAATCGAACTGAACAGTAGAACCGAATTGAATCGAACCGAATTTTCAGTTAACCAAGCAAATTTGGTTCGAATACAAATACTGCGTATTTGATCTTTGTTCGGTTCAGTTTCCGTTTTTGATAATTTTTTCGGTTTGAATATATTTATATTATTATATTTTAAATTTTATATTGAATAATTACATTTGATTCGGTTTCGATTCGGATATTTGAAATATTTACAAATATTTTTTATCTAATTAGAATTTTAATTATTTTTTAATGTATTTTTTCTTAATTTCGGTTCTATTCGAGTTATTTGCAAATATTTTCGGTTCAGATACGATTTGCGATTTTGGGTATTTGTTCAGTTCGATTTGGATATCAAATACGTGTATATTTGTAAATAATTGAACCGTGCCCACTCCTATTTTGGGTGCCATCTTTTCTTGATTTGTATAGAAATAAATTATTTAATTCGAAAGCTATATATATTTGATTTGGCATGAAGGATTATAGAATGGCTGATAATATTTAAGGTGATAGTTATCTTCTGGTATTTGTCTTTGTGAGTATGAACAAATTTGAAGGTAATATCGAACAATTATGGAACTATGGAACTATTTATAATGCAGTAGAAAATGTTAAATTTAGTGAAAGTTATGCGCCGCAAATTCATTATTAGTTTAGTTTTTGTACCTAAAATCTATTCAATTTTTCCCCGATTATTCCATACCAGGGTGCCACCGGACATCTCCTCGGGGCAGCTGGATCAGTCGAAGCAATATTCTCCATCTTAGCCATACACCATGTAAGGAACATGTACTTCCGCTAATTTCTTCCCCGGTTATGCAATTTATTTTTTATTAATGCTCTTCGATATATTCGATAAACTAATCATACATGATCTTGTTCGTAACTCCATTAGCTCAACAATTGCAGGGAGTCGCGCCTCCAACCCTCAACCTCACAAAACCCGATCCCATATTTAATGGCGATTTTGTGCCGTTGAGGACTTCAAAGAAGATGACCATCAAAGCTGCATTGTCAAACTCTTTCGGCTTCGGTGGAACCAATTCCTCCCTCCTCTTCACATCCATAGATTAAGAGGTATGGTGCTCGAATTCGTCGATAATTATGGTCTTAGAGAGAATTGTCGTATTTCTACAACCTACTCGGCTATCGATGTCTTCGATTCACCTCCATTTTTGGTAGTGTTTTTTGGTTAATTTCTTAACTAGAGCTATAAAAATTCTTTTCTATCTATCAAGGGTTTCTCTACTTCGATGTTTAGTTTTGGATTGTGATAAGAATAATAGTTTGATTATGATATTTTGTGTAAAGTAATACTCCCTCCGTCCCACATACCATGTCCACGTTTCGTTTCGGTCCGTCCCACATTCCATGTTATTTTTTTTTTTTTTTTTTCTGGAAAATAATTACACTTTAATTTCATTTAAATTTTTTTATTTTTTTTTAATTTTAATTAAATTAATTAGTTATTTTAATCTTAATTTATAATTATTTATATTATAAGATAATTATTTTCACTGGGTCAGAGGGAGTAATAAATTTATAGAGTCGTTAGGGTTGCATGGAAAAAAATAATATTGAGACTACATTCGCCTTAATTAGTTTCTTTTTTAAAATAAAAATTATAATGCTGGTCAATTCTAACATTATGTTATGTTTTTCCTCAATTATTTAAGAAAAAAATAAATTATAGTTGATTAAAAAAATAAAATTATATATTAGTAAGTGAATTTGTGCAAGATAAAAAATTTGAAGTACTTACGAATTTAATAAAATATTCTTAATTTTTATTTAAATTACAAAAATATTATTATACATACAATTATTTTATACATCTTTTTTTGTCTTAAAACTGATATTTAGTTCTAAATAAATATCTAAATTATGCAAGTTTTATACAAATAAAATATTCAAACTATCTTAAATAATTTTTTTAATATAATAAATAAATAATTAAATAATATTTTATTTTATAGTTTTTTAAGGTAAATTGTTATCTGATTTTTATAAAAATTATAAAAATAAATTATTGGTCAATTATTTATTTATTTATTTATTTTATCAAAAAACTATTTAAGATATTTTGCGTTTTTTATTTGTATTAAAATTTGCATAATTAGATCTTTATTTAGAACCAAATATCAGTTTTAAACAACGAGGGTGTTTCGTGCAAACTTGAGTTTCACGCCATGAATAAAACACAGGTTGTTTCGTGCATTTTTACTAATTCGCAACAGGTGTTATATAATTAACCATATTTTAAATAACCGTATCAATAAAAAGAAGGTAAATTATATAACACTTGTATTTTAGTAAAAGTGTACAAAATACCATGTATTTTATTTATTGCGTGAAATCCCATTATCTTAATATAAAGTTTGCACGAAACACACTCCGCGTCCAAAATTGATATTTAATTCTAAATAAAGACCTAAATTACACGAATTTTATACAAAAAAAATAAAATGTAAAATATTTTAAATAATTTTTTGAATAAAATAAATAAATAAATATTTGATTAATCCTTCATTTTATAGCTCTTGGAGATAAATTATTATTTGATTTATATAAAATTGTAAAAATAAATGATGAATCAATTATTTATTTATTTTATTCACAAAAAAATATTTAAGATATATATATATTTGTCTAAAAATTGCCTAATTTAAGTTTTTGTTTAGAATTACATGTCAGTTTTAAACGAGGAGGATATTTCATGCAAATTTTACATTAACACAAGAGATTTCACTCCATGAATAAAACACAAATATTTTATACATTTTTGCTAAAATACAATAAAATATTATATAATTTATTTTTTAAAAATATTAAACGAACATATTATTTTTTAAACACAAAAACATAAATATCCTTTACAAAATCGACACATGCAATCCCACAAAGATCAAAAAACACAAAAAGCCACAAATTAAAAATATAAAATAAAATAAAAAAATATATGAGGAATACAAATATAGACTTATCTTGAGGCGTCGACGTGGAGAAGAGAGAGGCAACAGAATTGAGATAGTGGGTGATTCGTATATCTCACTGCCACGTGGACCAATCACTGTCGAGATGTAGATTCCCCAATATCCCTTCCAACTCCCCATATACTCCCAATTCCATCGTCTTCCTCACTCCTCCTCCGCTCGCCATTGCTGCAATTCTGCAATTCTCTCCTCTCTCTCTCTAAAAATGGCCGCCAATACCGTGATGAGCTGCGGCGTCGCCGCCATCGCCTGCCCCGCCGCGCTCTCGTCGTCCAGGTCGCGATTCGCCGCCGCGACCTCGCTCAACGTCGGCTCCGCCGTCACCTCCTCCTCCCGGTTCACCATGACCGCCGACTCGGAGTGGTTCCCCGGCCAGCCCCGCCCGGCTCACCTCGACGGCTCCTCCCCGGGGTACGTACCTTCTCATCCCCAATTTATTATATGGAAACCCTAATTTCAATTCAATTTCGTCCTAATTCAGAAATATAGATAATAGCTGATTATTAATTGATTATTGGAATTGATTGATTGATTGATTGATTGTTGTTGTTGTTGTTGCAGAGACTTTGGATTCGATCCATTGGGGCTTGGAGTTGTGCCAGAAATGCTGGAGAGATACAAGGAGTCTGAGGTTTACCACTGCAGATGGGCTATGCTTGCCGTTGTAAGTGCCTCTTTCTACCATTTCTTTTTATTTCTTTCTTATTCGTATCGATTTGCTTACTTGAAGTTTGATTTTGTGTTCTTGATTGATGTTCTTTGAAATCAAAATAATGAATTTTCAAATAAGCAGATCTTTTGGTTTTGATTCCAATGCAATGGATTTTAATTATTTGGTAGTTGTAGTTTTTTTTTTTTTTTTTTTTTTTTACGTGCGGTACAAGAAATTGTAAAAGTATTACATGAATGATGGTTTATGTGTTTTTGTTAACTTTTCTATGTTTTTTTGGGTTTTTGTTGAGTTTTATTGCCCATGTATTTTATATTATACTCGATATGATATTTTTTGGATAATAATTTTAGGGAATTATGTATGTTATAAACACTAAACAAACTATCGGTTCTTTGAATGATTTTTAAACGGAAAAATATGTACAACCGATGTTTTGAATGAAAAATAAATGAGATGTAAGGCAGTTCTAATTTCTAAAAGAAAAATTAATGTAAATAATAAGAGAATATCATCAGGTTTATTTTAGTTTAACTATAAATGTAGTAGAGTAATATCTTTATTCCTAAACATAACAAATATTAAGTCGCGGCAAATCAATCGATTTTTAGTTTATTCGAAACTTTTACTAGAGACATTGATGATTCTATATTTAACTTCTCGAATAACATCATTTTGTAGCCCGGAATTTTAGTCCCGGAGGCGCTAGGCTTAGGGAATTGGGTGAAGGCCCAAGAATGGGCGGCCATTCCCGGGGGACAAGCAACGTATTTGGGTAACCCGGTGCCGTGGGGCACTCTACCCACGATCCTCGCAATTGAGTTTGTGGCACTTGCTTTTGTCGAGCACCGGAGGACTATGGAGAAAGACATCGAGAAGAAGAAGTACCCGGGAGGAGCTTTCGACCCTCTAGGCTTCTCCAAAGATCCTAAAAAATTCGAGGAGTACAAAGTCAAGGAAATTAAGAATGGTATTCGCTCTTACATACGCGCATACATACATATTAAATTACTTGAAACGTCGTAAAAACTAATAATTAATTCATTTTTATCTTTCATTACAAGAGAAAATTGCAAAAAATATTCACTGTTTGTCTTTCATTTATCTCACTGAAAAATATAATTTACACATTTGAAAAAGTCTGTCATTTCTATTCTCTTGCCGTATGCCGGAGAACATAAATGTTGACTTTTGCAAACGTGTGATATATTTTTCTAGCGTGATAAATAAAGAATAAGAGTGATAATTGGATATAGATGAGGATATTTTTTTCAATTTACATTCATTACAACTAATTTTCTTCAAAATTTTAAGACATTCTAAGATTAAAACTACAATTTTCTAAAATTGTAACTTTTATTTTTTTTAATTGTAATAGGGCGATTGGCGATGTTAGCGTTTGTGGGATTTTGCGTGCAACAATCCGCAAGGCCGGGGACGGGGCCATTGGAGAATTTGGCGAGCCATTTGGCGGATCCATGGCACAACAACATTGGCGACGTCCTCATCCCGAGAAACATCTCTCCTTTTTGATGCTCTAAATTTAAATAGATCGATCGAATTTGTAAAAACTCATATGTGTAAAATGTGTTGATGTCTAATGGTATATGTGTACGCCTCAATTTGTTTGTGTGATTTTGCGCGCATGGTATATATATCTCCCGAATAATTTAAGAGGATGCTCGTTGACCTTAAGGCGTTGCTTTAATGTTTTTATGAAATAAATGAGAGTTTTACGCATTAGAGAAAAAATTTGGTAAAAGAATATGTTGGAGATTTTCGTTTGCATATATATAATTAATGACTGTGTTTCTCTAATAGTTCGAGTCTTTTAGGTGAGACGGTCATTTTGCATCCGAGATGGGTGCGTGTTGGGGATTCCTGTTTGCGGATATATAATTAATGATTGTGTTTACCTAACAGTTCGAGCCTTTTAGATGAAACGGTCATTCTGCATCCGACATGGGGGCGTGTTGGGGACTCCCGTTTGCGGATATATAGTTAATGACTGTGTTTTTAGGTGAGACCGTCATTCTGTATCCGACATAACATAAATTTTTTTGTTATAATTATAAGTTATAACAACAAAAATAACAATTAAATTTGATGCTAAGCTAACTAACAATAATTAACTAGCTGACTTTAGGTTATTTAGAGTGTATTCGAAGAGTAGCGATTTAATAAAATCTAGTGAATTAAGCTAACTAACTAACCGACTCACGGTTTACTAAGAATTCGAGGTTTACCTAAAAGCACATTCGAAGAGTAACGGTCGGCCGTAGACTCTCACGTCATTCAAAAAAAAAAATAATACTAAGTTGCAACTTAGCATATGTTGTGGTTGAGCATATTTTTTATATAGTTAGTTCAATAGATATATGCTCCCTCCGGCCGCAATATTTATGCTTGTTTGGCTGTGGAACGGATATTAAAAAAATAGTATTATTTTAATATAAAAGTGAGTTATATTAAATAGATAAAAAAATAGTGACAAATCGATTATTATTTATTAAAGTAGATTATGAGTGAATAAAGTGTTTTACTATAAATGAATTGTTGATATAAAATGTATTATCTAATATTTTACTTTTCATTATTCAATATTCAATTCATTTATTTATTTATTTTTTCTCGTGACATTCAAACATCCCAAATGCGAAACAAATTCAATATTTGATCCACCCTATATAATACTACTTTCTTACTGTGACTATTTGTAATGACTGTATAATAAAAAATTAAAATAAAAAATTTAAAAGAATAGAGTTAAAAGTTATATGAATTTCAATATATATTTTTTAAATCCGAATATAGAGCAATTTGCCGTGCCAAGGGTAGCCTCGACGAGTTGATGTGGTGTGTAGGCTTATAACCGATTTGAAAACCATCAACACTTTTCTTGGGTTTTGTTTGCCCTTATGGATTTAGTTAAATTTACAGGCTATCATGCTTAGTTGAGAAATTCTACGAATTTTCATATTATAATAAAATATATAAAAAAGTTTAGTAATCACATATTAAAAGTGGACATATCAAATTAGCAAATCAATATGAAGAATACAACATCTCTTGTGTGTAGTGTTAGCAATTAATGCATCAAGAAAGGTTGCAAGAAAAATGCAATATTGATGTATCGAGGATATTGTTAGGATCGAGTAAGCTTGAACGTAATAGCGTACAAATCAAGTCCATTCTGAAAAATCCTAGGTACAAATCAGGCCAGTTGATAAAACTACAATGGGCGACATACTCAATCGAAACGAATTAAGCGAAATGTTTGTTGTTGCATGTGATTTGTCTTGCTGGATTTGATTGTACAAAAATGTGATTTACATGTTTTTTTTTATTCAAATTTGTCTTTTTTTTTTCTTTTTTGATTACCTGGGAATTCGCAGCAAATTAGGCTCCGGCAGACAAATTACACTAGGCGAACCATACGTGGTAAGTAACCTGACCTCACGGTCATAAGTCCACTCCCACACCAGGTCAGATTTGTCTTTTATTGGGTGGAATGGAATTTTGGCACAATTAGAATTTTTACCAATTTAGGAAGATCCTATCACTTTGCATGGCTTGCCAACAACTCCATCCAAACCAAAAATACATGAGGTACACATTTATATCAAAATATATTTTCATTTTTAAAATTAAATTTAAAATTAAAAATATATCAATATACATATCATTTTTAAAATATAAAATTTCTATTAATTTTTTTAAAAAAAAACACCCAAAAATAAATATCATATTAAAAATATTTTGAAAATGAAAAAAATGGTAACAACGTCAACCGTTCTAAAATCGTGAAACGACCTATAAGAAACGTCACCTAATAAATGACCGATAGGAGATGATCGATAACAAATGACCGATGGCTGCGTCCAGGCCGTTCCTGAATTTTTAAGGGCTCCGGACAAAAAAAATATGGACCCCTATTAAATTTTTTTATATAATTAATATTTTTTAATTATTTATTTTATTATTTATCTTTTGAATTTATTTGATTTTATTGTCAATAAAATATATTATTTTTTTATAAAATATTATATTAAAATATATTTGAATAAAAAATTTAAATTTAAATACAAAAAAGAATTTAATATATACTTTTATATTATACATATTTATAAATTTTATTATATATAAAAATATATATATTTTGTAAAAATTTTAGGGCCGTGGGCTTAGCTAACCCATATCCAGGGCCGGCTCGGGTGGTGTAACAAAATCAAAAAATCAAAAATATAAATATATACAATAGTGGGTGGATTTCATACAATTTTTTTTTTTTTTAAAAAAAAATAATAATAGAACAATTTAAAAAAATTTCACTATTATTCGTCTCTAAATGTGTATATATATACACATATATCTACCATGGACTCACAAAAATAAAAAATAAAAAAATAAAAATTTGTGGAGACCAAAAACAATTAAAAAAATTGTTGAAAACATAAATAATATCCTCCGTTCCATAACAAAGTATTTATTTTTTCATTTTAGTCCATCTCATAACAAAGTATCAATTTCCTTTTTTTAGTAACTGTACTATCTACTAATATTACAAATACCCTTACAACTTACAATATATTACACAAATGTCATTACCTTTGTATCACACATACTAATAAGGTTATTTTGGTCATTTCTACTTTATTTCTACTATATTTTAATATAATATTAATATTTCTAAAACTACGTGTAAAAAGCAAATGAATACTTAGTTCGGGTTGGAGGGAGTAATCAGTAATATGTATAAATATACAACAATATCTCACCAACCGAACCCTGAATATTTTTGCACTGAAATATATTTTTAAAATGTTTTGGTTTTTTTAGATGGTTTGACAACAATAAAAAAATTCCAATAGAAATAAGCGTTTTTGCATGGAGAATTAATTTTGTTTATTTTTTAATGTAATAATCATTTTTTGAATAATTGATAATAGTATAAATTAATATTGAATGTAATATTTATGAATAAAAAATAAAATTTCAATGTACTATTTTACATAAAAAAATAATTTTTAGTGTAATATTATTTAAATGGATATAATATTATATATATATATATATTTAAAAAAAATATATTTGAAACAATAAGTAAACAAATTGGGCTCTTATATATGATTGATTGTTAATTTGAAGTTGTGTCTTGTGGACCAATGATTTAAGCCCAAATCCAATATTCATATGATATTGTATTGTCAGCTTTGCTTTAAATTAATGGTCTAAACAATTTGTATCATATTTTGGTTAAAAAAAATGATAATTTACAAGTTCTATATGGTTTTTTAAAGTTTTGAAGTTTTAGAAGATATATATATATTTTTTTAAAAAATAAATATTTAATATGATATTTTATAAAAATATATACTTTATGCGATTTTTTTAATGTATCCATGGATAAGTATTAGTGACAAAATTATTTTAAATATATTTAAACATTGTTTAAACTTTCAATTTTGATTAAAAAAAATTTAATGTTTTATTAAAAAAAATCAAAAGCAAATGGTTTGTGCACACATTTTCCTAAAGTTTTTAGCAATATTCATAATCAATTTTATTTATTTATTTTTTTTAAAAGTTCATCGAGTACTATTTTCACTCATAAAATATCATATTAAATATTCACATTTTATTATTCTAAAAAATTTCAAATTACAAAACACCAAAAATTTCTATTTAGATTTGAAATGAGCTCGTACGGTTGTGATCTCATCCATTGGTTGTGATCTCAATTCCAACACAGTCGCTGCTTATACATTTTAGAATCTCTTATAATTTCTCATGTTCCTTCTTCTCTATTTGTTGTATGTTTGACGTTGTAATTTTTGATTTTCTTCTTTCTTTTTTGATTTTGATGAGAAATTTGTGAGTTTTTTTACAATTCAATTTTTTATATCTCAAGCTGTTTTTTTACTTCGAGAGTGTAGGTTTCGGTTCTTTGAGAAGGAGATAGGTCTCCGGTGTGCGATTGGTCGACACTAGAGTTGTTCGTTGTTATTTTGGTGTCCTTTTCGTTAATAGGGCTGAACTTTAAAATATCTGAGCCACAACTGCATTTTGTTAATTTTTTCATTTATTTCGTTGTTTTTTTTCCTTTTTTTTTCATTTTTATAAAATTTTGTTCAAATTGAACACATTTTTAGGTGTTTTGTTGGATTCTTAATCTTTTTTAAATAGAATCGGTTTTTTTTTTTTTTTTTGGTTTATTTTGTCATGATTCAAGTTAAATTAAAGTGATTTTGAATTTTTCTTTTTTTTACTATTCTTGAGGTTCCGTGAACTAAAGAGGTCTTTTGAATTTTCATCAAAGATCTGTTCTTCTTTGTGTTACTGCAACTTCAAAATCAAATTTTTGTAAATTAATGCTTTGTTTTGTTTTGTTTTGTGTTTTCAAATTTAAGGTGCCTTTGAATAGAAACTTAAAAATGTGTTGATTTTTCAAATAAATTTTTAAGTTCTTTTAACTTTTTCAAAAAGTTTAAAGTTGTTTTTTTTTTTTTTTTTTTTTTTTTTTTAAATCGAAGATTTTGGAAAATAATTTTATTTTTAAACTATTTGAATTCACACATGTGGTTTTATTTTAGATTCGACCCCGATATTGGCAGTTCTTGTGAACTCATTGGTAG